CCTTCAGATATACTGCACTGAGGCCGTTTAGGGCCTAACACTTTGAATTGTGCTCGGAAACGTACTGGGAGCCAATGTAGGTCTTTCAAGTCCCGTGTTATGTGGTCTCGGCAGCCGCTCCTAGTCACCAGTCTAGCTGCCGCATTCTGGATTAGTTGTAGTTTCTGGGTCACCTTCAAAGGTAGCCCCACATAGAGCGCATTGCAGTAGTCCAAGCCGGGAGATAACTAGAGCATGCACCACTCTGGCGAGGCAGTCCACAGGCAGGTAGGGTCTCAGCCTGCATTCCAGATGAAGCTGGTAAACAGCTGCCCTGGGCACAGAATTGACCTGCACCTCCATGGACAGCTGTGAGTCCAAAATGACTCCCAGGCTGCGCACCTGGTCCTTCAGGGGCACAGTTACCCCATTCAGGACCATGGAGTCTCCCACACCCGCCCGCCTCCTGTCCCCCAAAAACAGTACTACTGTCTTGTCAGGATTCAACCTCAATCTGTTAGCCGCCATCCATCCTTCAACCGCGTCCAGACACTCACACAAATTGTGAGGCACCTGTTGGACAACAGCAAATATACATAAATGAATATCTAAATAACATATATTGCAAAGCAATTTGAATGGCTATTCGATTTGCATATCTCTTTTTGCATGTTAAAGCATTTGTAGAGAATTAAGGTGGAAAGCTTTCATAGTAGGAGTCGGTTGTGATGGGGCTCAAGTGAGTAGGTGAAAGGAAATCTATTTTATGGTGCATTTTCAGTGGATTCCTCTGACATTCCTAGTTATTGTGTTAGTTTCATTGTAATATTTTTAGTGTTCTTTTAAATGTGTGTGCTTTTTTGTGTTTTTTACTGTTTCTCCTGTTTTTATTGTACATCACTTTGAGATGATAGTTTAGAAGGCAGTTAATAAATTAATGATACTAATAGTGATGGTTACCAGCTTAGATGGCTTTAAAGGGAACAGAAGATAAAACTATCAATGGTACTCAACATTAATGCAAGCATGTCTGCCAACTTTATTTAAAACATAATTTTATGAAATGTTACCCAGATTAGGCCCCCACATTTATGTAGGCTTGCTGTCTTCATCTGAGAAAAAATAAAATATCTTTATCGGCTTTGTATATGATGTTAAACTTGTATTTCTGCAAACTTTAAATTACTATTTCTTATCATTATATGCTAAAACAAAATAGGTGAGAGGCAACCCTCCCACTTTCAGAGTTGCACTACTCAGCGGGGGGCGGGGGAGGTGTCATCCTAGTATAGGAATTCAAACTACTTTTTGAAATTAATTTTTTGTGTGGTTCCTGGGATCATAGCAGATGTCACTTCTTTTTATCTGCAGACTACTTTCAAGTATTGACTGTGTTGGCGCTAGTGTTACCATTTCCTTTATTTTGGGTCACACGAGGCTCCTATTGCTACTGTTTTAGATTGTAGTTTGTTTGTGTTGGTATAATGACATGGAAGGTCTCCAAAGGACATTTGACAGTTTCACTTTTATATGTCTGGGTGTAATATAGCAAGTAAAGTATGTGTGTCAGTTCAGTTTCTTCATGGTATTCAATTAAGATCCAGAGTGTCGTACTTAAAAAAAAAAATCAAAGACATTATTGATAAATTTTTACCCTTTTCTAAATTTCAAATAAGGGTGATTCTTGAACCAAACTTTTTACAAGTGAAAATAAGCTAGAAAAATAACATTTTAGCTATATGAAGGTGTGATATTTATAAATTCAGTCATGTTAGAAACAGGTTATTCATAGTCTTCAATACACTGCTGCTACTCTGTGTATAAGTTTCAGTTGGCAGCAAATTTTAAATAAATATATGGTCTTATAGAATTTAAGTTCAAGCTATATGTATATTAAGCTTTATAGATTTTTGACAGTGTTCTTGTAAACTTACAAGTTACTATTTCAATGATCTTTTATCTATACTAGATGTCAGCTATTATGCACTGTGTAAAAAATTTAATTGATTTCATATACCCATCCTCTACATGACCTTTTCCTCAATTTTGTAATATGTACTTCCTTATAATTTGTTTCTTTTTTTAAAGCTGTTTTTGATGTGTACATTACAAACATGTCAGAATCTGAATAGTATCCCTACTTTGGAGAGCTTTCTGTAGTTTTAACATGGCCAGATTTGGCACTTGATTAACAGTTACAGGGTGGGTGAGTACTTAATGCTTTCCTAACTTTCCATTCCTTTACTCCAGATTGTTTCACAATGGCTTTTCCCCCTACAAGGTTCCAGTTGCATGTGTGCAAGAGTTACATTATTTTTGTCCTAGATCTTAATTCTTTAGGTTTAGTAATTCTTTAGGTTCACTGCCAAAATGATCATGAAACTTCCACAAATTGAAACATTGAAGTTGACGCTCATGCATGAGACTTAAAATCTATGCCTACTATAAAGCAACAGCTGAAATAGCATTTGTATTTTGTTTAAAAATATATATTGGACTTTATTCCTAGAAACCAAAAAGCCTCAGAGTTCATTGAAGTGAGTTTATGTAAGTTTATACAACTATGGTTTGCTCCATGGCAGGGAAGCAGGAGAAAGCATATGGTGTAATGTAAGAACCTTAAGATTTCAGTTTGTTCATGTTTTCTTTGGTGACACAAGAATGAGATAATTTTTACTTTTCCATTTCATGTGATAAATGCCATGTGATGTCAGCTAATATTTACTATGTTAACGAAACAGATACCTTTTTCCTTGCATTGTTGAATGCTTATGGTATTGTTGGTATACAATTGACAAGAAATATTTACATATGCAACCACCGAGATGAAATAGTACCTCCTGTCATGTCAAAAAGGAATATTGAATTTGGCTCTGAAAGAGCTATCTAGCCATCTAGTAATATGCAAAAAGTGGGAGCTATTACGTCACATCATCCTTCGATATAACAAGTGGGGTATTGCAGACAATTGTCCATGTTACTAACAGTAAGCTTAATGGTGCAAAGTGAGTGCCCATGGCTTGCTTCAGATGTAATACAGGCAACCCTCTATTTATGTGGGGGTTACATTCCAAACCACTACACGCGTCAGTGAAATCACATATATTTGAAACACCATTGGGAAAAGCCTGCAAACACCCCATTCCGCTCCTGCCCCACCCCTTTTTGTGACTTTTTTGGTCTCTTCCGGGTTCGACACACGCACATGTGCACGGTCACACACATATTGAGCATGAGTAAATGGGGAAGTTACCCATACACGTTTTAAAAGGGGAAAGATGGTTTAAATTTGTGAACATAAAATCATTGTATAACACTTAAGATTATAAACTAAAATTTGTTCTTTTGGTAGGAGCTTAATAACTTACTTAAATTGAGCTGTCATTGATTCTACCAGTTTTAGGGTAGGTTGTTATTGATATAAATGCTTATGTATTTTTAATAGCAAAACTTTAAAGTGTTTGAAGAGTGCCACCTTCCTAATGATGATGATAATTTTATTATTTATACCCTGCCCATGTGGCTGGGTTTCCCCTATCCACTCTAGGCAGCTTACAGCATATATTGAAACATAATAAAACATCCAACAGTAAAAACTTCCCGATACAGGGCTGCAAATATAAGGATTTGCTGTGATGGCACATTCAAATGCCAGCAGGTGTCTGTGTAAAACACAGTCCAAGCAAATGCATGCATCCTTAGCTAATTAAGCATGGTTTAATTTTAACACACATGGCTACTGATATATGTTTTGTGTTCTTTCTCATAATTTGATGCTGGCTTCTGTAATCATTACCAGGAACCTCAGTCTCACAATTGTGCTCTTTATGTGGCATTTCTGACAAGGTCTCAAGGGAATATAAGGTCAGATATTTGAACATTAGTACCAACACCTTTCATTTAAGTGGCCACTAGAGGCTGCCACAAAACAGTGCACACCTTGGTCTATAGCTTGTAAATAGTGTTAAGTTCTGAGTTCTGGAATCAAAGCACTTAGGTGTAGGGATTTTCTTTTCGTTCATAGCTTTGAAAAAGTAGTTTACAGACACACATATAGGTTTGTTTCATTTTTATTAATATTTATGTCTTATCAATATCCCTAAAAATAATATTATATTTCTGAGATAGTGCTTAATAAAACTGGATATGGATTACTATTGGCAATGGTCTTCCCTTGTTTCATACATTTTCATATGCCAGTATATTTTAAAAGAAGCCTCTTTTTGACGCTAAACAAAAGCTCGTGGATCTTGTGGATAAAGTAACAGAGAAGAAGATAGAATGGGCTTGAACAACTACTTCACATTCTTTAGATAATGCTCTTTCCTTCAACAATTTAAAAAAGAACTACGTGTTAACATATTAAAATAGATTAAGATTAATAAGGGATATATTTGGCTAAAAAAATAGTTTGAAACAAAAAAATATTTCTTTTTTGATGAAGTAAAGGGAATTTTGGCATGAAATTGTATTCATCATTTTTTCAATTGATTAATTGCTTGACACATACATCTCCAAGTAACATAAAAAATGTGAAAGCATAAAGGATTTGATAAAATCTGAAAAAGAACAATGCACTGCAGTAAAAGTCGTAAAAGAGACTTAACAAGTCAGAACCAACATTTCAGCAGCAAAAATGCTCCATCAGAACGTGGTTTGACTTTTGTCCATCAAAAAGAGAAGAGATTATAACATGCCAGATTACAACATATAAACTACAATGAAATCCATCTATGACTAGCTATAAAACATCAGTAAAACATCACTAGATACTTGTAGATGCATTCAGACCATCATCAACATCCTTTTGGCTCAGGTAAAAACCTTTTTATGAACAAGCAGGTGATAAATTTTCAAGTAAATAAATAATACAATGGTGCATCAAATAATGGGGCACAAACTGTTTCAAACTGACTTTAAAGCTCAATGAGCTGATAAGCATAAACTGTTGTTAGAAAACCTTATCTTCAAATAAATGATTCCTAGCTGATTTTTGTCTAATTTTGTTTTATGCCCAACAGGATGTCCATGGTTTATTTTTGGGGTGGCTTGAAAGAAATGTGAATGCAGAAGGATTAATCAGATCCAACATGGTGTCCCTCAAGTTTGTATCATCTTGCATCAAAGGAACAGAAGTAACACCCTCGCTCATGCCGGTAGTTACTGAGATGGAAGCTTTCTCATCCGAACATTTCAGTTTTGAGAGATACAGGCAAAATCTACATACAAAGAAGCTTGGGAAAGTAGTTCTCTTTGCTGAAGTTACATCAACCACCATGAATCTTCTTGATGGGTAAGATTAGCTGTGATGGTGATAACTTTTTTTCTATATATTAGTTGGCAAAAACAAAAATGTTCTGTTGGACTTCCCATACTCCCAATTTACTGAAAATAATTCTGGCATAGGAATACAGAGACCCTTAACATTTGACCAATTTGCTGAAAGAGGCTAGACAAATGTTAAACATATAAACTGTCATTCATTAATCAATATATATGCTTTACTACAGAGTCTATAGTACAGTTTTCCTGTATTGGGAGCATTAGATCCTCAGTCTTAGAGATGTAACAACACACTCTTTAATTCATGACACAGCAGCTCAGGGGTGTTCCATGCAAGTATGCAGCTTTTCATGTTGCAGGGTGGCAGTTGTCTTTTGACCATGTGGGGTTGGAATGGTGATAGGGATGAGAAGGTCACTCCTTTTGTCTTTAGGATACTTTGTTAGAGAGTTAAGCTGTCTCCTAACTTCCAAAAAACTTATTTATGTGTACGTCCCTTCCACTGTGTACTCTTCCACTGGAAGAGGCCCTTTCCCCAGATGATTGCATGGACCTAGAATCTCCTTCTAGTGTTTGAAGGAGGTGGAACTTGTTTCTGCACAAGAAACTCAGAGCACAGAATCAGCCTTTTTCTAGCAGGAATTGAATGAATTTCTAATTTGAACTTGAACAAGTGGAGTTATAAGATTGCAACAGCAAATATATGTTGCACAGTTTCCAAGGTAAGCAGCTCCACATTTTTCCATTGTGATTGTTCTGAAACTGAGCTTGTGAAACAAAACTTTTTTTTTAGCAAGCAGGCTAACATGCTGAACGTTTCTTGTTGGCAATTTTGGTCTGTATAAATCTTTGTTATTTTAAAATCGTGATTTTAGAATTTTGAATCATACCACCAGCATCACTGTAGTTGTGGTTTTGGAAAAGCTAATGAGCAAAGAGTATCTCATTGATAACTATAGTTCTTTAATTTATGAACATAACTGTTTCAGGTTTTTAACCTCAGCAACTAATTTCAAGAGCTTATGCCGTAATAAATTAGTTATGCCTTAATGTGCTAATATTTTAGTTACAGGTTAATTAAACTGTACTGAGCAAACTGTCTATATGCATGCAATTTTCCATAAATTGTATAATTTTAGAATATTTCAAGGCAAATGTTGAAATCTTCATTATATTTTGTGCTATTCTGTAGCTAGATGAAAAAACTGACTTTTATTTAATGGAAAGGTGAAGTTAGGTAAAGGGACCCCTGACCATTAGGTCCAGTCGTGACCGACTCTGGGGTTGCGGTGCTCATCTCGCTTTATTGGCCGAGGGAGCCGGCATACAGCTTCTGGGTCATGTGGCCAGCATGACTAAGCCGCTTCTGGTGAACTAGAGCAGCACACGGAATCGCCGTTTACCTTCCCGCCGGAGCGGTACCTATTTATCTACTTGCACTTTGACGTGCTTTCGAACTGCTAGGTTGGCAGGAGCTGGGACCGAGCAACGGGAGCTCAGCCCGGGGATTCGAACCGCCAACCTTCTTAGAATCATAGAATCATAGAATCATAGAGTTGGAAGAGACCACAAGGGCCATCGAGTCCAACCCCCTGCCAAGCAGGAAACACCATCAGAGCACTCCTGACATATGGTTGTCAAGCCTCTGCTTAAAGACCTCCAAAGAAGGAGACTCCACCACACTCCTTGGCAGCAAATTCCACTGTCGAACAGCTCTTACTGTCAGGAAGTTCTTCCTAATGTTTAGGTGGAATCTTCTTTCTTGTAGTTTGGATCCATTGCTCCGTGTCCGCTTCTCTGGAGCAGCAGAAAACAACCTTTCTCCCTCCTCTACGTGACATCCTTTTATATATTTGAACATGGCTATCATATCACCCCTTAACCTCCTCTTCTCCAGGCTAAACATGCCCAGCTCCCTTAGCCGTTCCTCATAAGGCATCATTTCCAGGCCTTTGACCATTTTGGTTGCCCTCCTCTGGACACGTTCCAGTTTGTCAGTGTCCTTCTTGAACTGTGGTGCCCAGAACTGGACACAGTACTCCAGGTGAGGTCTGACCAGAGCAGAATACAGTGGCACTATTACTTCCCTTGATCTAGATGCTATACTCCTATTGATGAGGCCCAGAATTGCATTGGCTTTTTTAGCTGCCGCGTCACACTGTTGGCTCATGTCAAGTTTGTGGTCAACCAAGACTCCTAGATCCTTTTCACATGTACTGCTCTCAAGCCAGGTGTCACCCATCTTGTATTTGTGCCTCTCATTTTTTTTGCCCAAGTGCAATACTTTACATTTCTCCCTGTTAAAATTCATCTTGTTTGTTTTGGCCCAGTTCTCTAATCTGTCAAGGTCGTTTTGAAGTGTGATCCTGTCCTCTGGGGTGTTAGCCACCCCTCCCAGTTTGGTGTCATCTGCAAATTTGATCAGGATGCCCTTGAGTCCATCATCCAAGTCGTTGATAAAGATGTTGAATAAGACCGGGCCCAAGACAGAACCCTGTGGCACCCCACTAGTCACTCTTCTCCAGGATGAAGAGGAACCATTGATGAGCACCCTTTGGGTTCGGTCAGTCAGCCAGTTACAAATCCACTGAGTGGTAGCATAGTCAAGACCGCATTTTACCAGCTTCTTTACAAGAATATCATGGGGCACCTTGTCAAATGCCTTGCTGAAATCAAGGTAGACTACATCCACTGCGTTCCCTTCATCTACCAGGCTTGTAATTCTGTCAAAAAACGAGATCAGGTTAGTCTGACATGACTTATTTTTCAGAAATCCATGCTGACTATTGGTGATCACAGCATTCCTTTCTAGGTGCTCACAGACTGTTTGCTTAATGATCTGCTCCAGAATCTTCCCTGGTATTGATGTCAGACTGACTGGGCGGTAATTATTTGGGTCCTCTCTTTTCCCCTTTTTGAAAATAGGGACAACATTTGCCCTCCTCCAGTCTGCCGGGACTTTCGCCTGTTCTCCAGGAATTCTCAAAGATGACTGCCAGTGGTTCTGAAATCACATCTGCCAGTTCTTTTAATACTCTTGGATGCAGTTCATCTGGCCCTGGAGACTTGAATACATCTAGACTAGCCAAGTATTCTTGTACTATCTCCTTAGTTATTCTGGGCTGTGTTTCCTCTGCTGAATCATTTGCTCCAAATTCTTCAGGTCGGGCATTGTTTTCTTTATCGGAGAAGACTGAGGCAAAGAAGGCATTGAGGAGTTTCAGCCCTTTCTGTGTCCCCTGTTTGCATTTCACCATCTTCTCCTCTGAGTGACCCCACGGTTTCTTTGTTCTTCCTTTTGCTACGAATATACCCATAAAAGCCTTTTTTGTTGCTTTTAACCTCTCTAGCAAGCCTGAGTTCATTTTGTGCTTTAGCTTTTCTGACTTTGTGTCTACACGTGCTGGCTATTTGTTTGAATTCCTCTTTGGTGGTTTCCCCCCTTTTCCATTTTTTGTACACATCCTTTTTTAATCTTAACTCAGTTAAAAGTTCTTTAGATAGCCACCCTGGCTTCTTTAGGCACCTTCCATGTTTCCGTCTCATTGGTATCGCCTGAAGTTGTGCTTTTACTATCTCCCTCTTAACAAACTCCCAGCCATCTTGAACTCCCTTTCCTTTTAGTATTACTGTCCATGGGATCTCACCCAGCACTTCCCTAAGCTTTATGAAGTCGGCTTTCTTAAAGTCGAGAAATTGAGTCCTAGTATGCTTGGCTGCTCCTTTCCGCTGTATAGTAAACTTCAGAAGAGCATGATCACTCGCGCCTAATGATCCTTCCACTTCTACCCCACTAACCAGGTCATCAACATTGGTTAGGACCAGATCTAAAATGGCTGTTCCTCTTGTTGCTTCTCCCAGCAAGTCCTAGGCTCTGTGGTTTAACCCACAGTGCCAATCGCGTCCTCTGCAGTAAATATAATGGTCACATGTCTTAAATAGACATATCCTATAGATGTATCCATATCTGGCTTTCCATCAGCAGAACAGTGCATCTGCCAGATCTTACTGCCTTTCAGTCTGTGTCTTTCAAGTATAGGATAGCAGCCTCAATTACGTGAATATTCTTTTTCTTTTTCTGATTGTTTTTCTTAGAAACTAGATACACTAATATGATTCCACAGTGGGTTTTTCACTAAAGTCGGTGTGGACTGAGTAGTTAAAGATTTTAAAATATTCAGCTCATAAGAAAGCCAGATATGGAATGATTCCCCGCAGAGTCATTTCAGCAACAAAGAAATGCTGGCAGAATGACTGAAGTGAGATTGGGTCACGGGTGGCACAGGGGAGAAGCACACTTCTGTTGTACTATTTCAGTCTACATCCACATTCCTGTTGGTGGTACAACCTTTGCCCCGGACCAGATGCAAAAAAAAAAAATAAAGAATGAATCCATGTCATTGACTTGAGTGTGATGGGGCAGGCGTCTCTGAGTGCACAAGTGGATTTGTGTTTCTTTCAGGATGTGTAGGGGAGGGATAATAAGAGTGGGAGGGGCATTAATTCCTGGGATGCAGCATAGGGAGGGAATGGTCACATTGTTTGTCAGGAGAGGGGATAAGACAGACTAGAAAGACTAGTTGACGCATGCAAGGGCCAAGCTATCCAACCATGTTGCATTCCTGATCACTGATTCAGGCTTGTTTCACTGGAGGCTGCTTTCCTCTTTCTTAATAAGGGAATTTGTCCTGGATTTATAACATAAGCTCTTTTACTCAGCTGATGCCCCTGTGCCCTGACATCTATGAGTGGGGCTGGGATTAGGAGACAGAAAAATGCCCCGTGGCAGGGTTGGGGAACTTCATGTCCAGGGGCAAAATACAGTCCTCCAGGCTTTTTTATCCAGCCTTCATGACTCTACCAAATACCCATTCCTCACTGACCCAGCTCTGCTCCCTCCTCAAGTGATTTAGCCTGGCTGGAATGTGTTCTTTAACTTTCAGTAATGTCTCCTTCCTGCTGGATAGTGGGTGGAAAGGTAGTGAGGGTGGTGATGTAGGTATAGAGAAC